TGCTTAGCCATTAATCTGTAGATGGAGAGAAACATTTTGTGTAAAATACTATTATTTGCTTCATGTAAGCCTGTCTGTTATATGCTTTCTTTGTTTAACATGAAGACCACTAAAAGCAAGTTTCAGTAGATGAGTCTTTACATTTTTAATTTTTCATGAAGGAAGATGTGACGGTAATTGCAGCTTAACAACTTTGTTTCATTTTTCTTATACCAAGATTTAAAACAAATAAGAAAAGGCCTGATAAGAATGTATTCCCCAGGTATCTTTAAACTGAAAATTGATCTAGTTTAGAATAAGAAGGAAAATAAATTAATATTCAGTAAATGCAGATACCAGTATCCCTTAAAGACTTTTTCAACAATACATAGACTAATCAGAAAGCTTTTACCTCTAGTTGGTATGAATTTCCAGCTCTTAATATTGTATTCTAATTGGATGCCACTGTGGTAAATTTTACTATAGTATTAAGTATGAAGTCTTAAAATGAATTACCTTCTTTTTCCAGGTCTTCACAGTTGTATTTGAAATGGGATTGCAAAGTGTGAAACAACAGTAGGGTTTTTTTTTCCCCTCCTTTCTGATGGCCTAGGAGGTGGTGATAGGTACAGGATCTTCCAGAGGGACATGGGAGAAATGAATTGAAACATAAACGTGAAAATTCTTGCACCCTTCCCTGGAGATTGAGCACGGGCAGCCTCAGAGGTCCCCTGAAAGGAGCTTCACTGCTGTGAAGCTGGAATGTTTATGGTTTAGAGACTTACAGGATGGGATGTCTAAAGTACCCCGGATTCTCTGCAGGTGTTCTGATCAGTTTTTGAAATTAGAGCACTCTAATGTAGCCAGAATAGAAGGGGTTTGGTTAACAGAAAGTGTTTGCTTGTTTATTTTTATGGAGAAATGCTATTATACTTGGATATAAAATGTTAGATGTTAAAATTCTAGGGGAAAAATTGTCATTCTGATGATATTGTAAATTTATATTATCTTGATTTCTGGTGGCTTTCTTTTGGTGTGAATAATTTTAAAATTTCATAGCTATAATCTAGTTTTGGATTTGAATGCCAGTATTAGCGGAAAAATAAATAAGGGCAGACTGAGGAAATCCTGATTGTGATAAAGTATATGAATTTAAAGCTAATCTTTTTTTGTCATTTCACTATTAATTTTTGTTTCAAGTGAGTTTAGTCTTTGTCTGCATATTATCCTGAAGTAGGAGCTTTTTTGTCATTGCTAGTAAGAAACTGGATAGAATGTCTATGAATTTTCATATACGTATTCCATTTCAGAGTTCAGTAGCCCCTTTGGAATGCCTACTTTAACTTGTTTCTTATTTGTTTCCTTTATCTTCACAAAGTATTTCACAAGATTCTTTAACAGAATAAGAATAGAATAAAGGTGAATATTTCTAAATTGGATTTACGTTTTCTTCAGGCAGTAGGAAACTCTTTACTATAACAAGTTTTAATGCAATTGCATCTCTGATTACCATGATGATACTATAAATAGTTGCATTTAGGAAATTGCGACATGTGGCACAGGTGGAATTTAATTTCTATGGAAGCTGCTTGTTTTCTCTCTCTTTTCCTCTTTCCACCTTCCTTCTCTGCCATCCCCTTCTGCATTTTCTTTCCAGCCACTAAACAGAGTAGAGATGGTGATATTTTAAATGTCAATTGCCATCAAGATTTTTGAGACAAATTTGTGTGATTATATGCCTGGCACAGGGAAGATTATTAAAGTTAGTGTGTGCTTAGTGCCATCTAATGTGGAGCCAGTTTGCATGTTGCTGAAGCCCTGGAGATGTCTCCTGAACGAATAACATTACTCCTTATCCTCATCTCTCACTTTCTCATCATCTCTGGTGTCTCTTTTTAACGAGACTAGTGATCCGAGTACAGCAGTTTGAAGGGACTGAAGAGCTTAGTGAAGGCTAATAGGATGTAGTGCTTTTTGCTGTCGTGTCGCTTGTTCCAGTCAAACCTGGGCTGCTAATGTAGAGACTGAAGGTAGTTGCCAACAAAGAGCTGTCAGGTCATGTCAGTCCAATTACGCCTGCAGCGCCATACCTGGTACAGTGGCTTTATTAGTGAGGCCAGAAATGTGGAGACCTGGCTGCCCCCTGACCCCGCGTGGGTGCTTGTGAAACACCCTGTAGGTGAGAAGTGCCTGCTACTGTCAGCTGGGCGCAGCAGTTGAGTGCTACAGGAGATGGTCTGGTCCCCTTGATTCACCCGGGTGTATTTAATAAATAATCGATCGAGGCAGAAGTTGGGACCCCTCTTCTGCCAAAACCAGAGCTCTGCAGTTCCTAACGCGAATCATGCTAAAGCATAACTGCTTCATGGCAGCCATCAGGAGGATATTTCTTGCTCCCTCTCCCCTTCCTTTTCCTGTTTTTAGCACCTTGGCTCTCCAGCCCTTTCCTCCCCCTTCTCATTAGCTTGTGAAGGCTCGTTTAGCGCAACTCAGCCACTGCTTCCATGCTGACGCAC